GACTGGGGTTCAAGGAGACAGAAGCAGACATAGAAAAAGCAAATGTAAAAGACGGCCCAATCCAGGAAACACACAGCCAAGCAGACGAGCTCCGAGCCAGCTCCCATGTCAGAGGATGAAGAGAGCACATCCAGCCAGAGTCAGAGAAACAGGACGGCACTGAAAAACAGGCTGATCTCCAAAATCTATAAACAAGGATGTTGATGGCAGCAACACAGCTGATATTTCTCTCCAGGATGGAGATGTATATCGTTATTTAGAAAAATATATATGGATGGCATGCCTTTTAGGAAATTATTTTTCTACATATATTGATGAGTAATATGTTGAATGAAAAAATGTGTAATTTAGTTTCAAAACAGATGAGTGAAAAAAAAAAATATATATATACATATATATATATATATATATATATATATATAAACATACACGCTATGCATGTACATACTGTACATGCATAGGGGGCAAAATAAGTAATGAACACAGCACCATTTTTTTAGTAAAAATGTTTTAAAAATGACATGACATTTTCAACAGATGTCAGTAACAATCCATGCAATCCACACATACAAAGAAATGAAGCTATAGAGTTCCAGAAATTAAATTATGTATAATAATGGCACAGGGAAAAAGTATTGAACACACTTATCGAAATACTTTGTACAAAAGATTTTGTTGGCAATGACTGCTTTAAGATGCCTCATGTATGGAGAAATACATTGCATGCAATGCTTAGGTGTGATATATTTTGTATCTCTGCTTCTGTCTCCTTGAACCCCAGTCAGCCTCAGCAGATGGCCGCTCACACTGAGCCCGGTGCTGCTGGAGGTTTCTTCCTGTTAAAAGGGAGTTTTTCCTCTCCACTGTCGCTACAAGCATGCTTAGTGTGAGGGACAGTCAGAAAAGAAAGTTATAAAAACACTAAATCAGGTTATCCTGTCAGTATTATCAGATTAACTTCAGATTATTTCTATAGCACCAATTCACAGCACAAGTCATCTCAAGGCACTTTACAGTTCCACCAGATCATCCAGTCAGATTCATTCAAAGTTTCCGTCACACTAAGCATGCATGTAGCGATAGTGGAGAGGAAAAACTCCCTTTGTTGTGAATTGGCACTATAGAAATAAACTGAATTGAATTCACTTTAAACCAGAGCCCGTTAAAGTAGATATCACGAGGAGATGAAGATAAGGAATGGGAGGGGAGACTTGGCTGAAGAAGCTGGTGTTTGTTTGGCTGCTGCTAGGAGATGCTAACCCAGAGCTCCAGTTTCTAACTCAGGCTGTTAGCGGTTAGCATGAGGATCAAACATTTTCTCAGATAAATCAGAACGATGAGTTAAAACGACTGAGAGATGCTTCACTGTCACTTTAAACAGTCTTTCATTTTCTTCCACTCTGATTTTATGTTAGCTTCCGCTAATGGTGCTAGCACTAGCTAATATAGGAAACAGTAGATCACAAACCAATCACATTTATTGGTTTCAGCTGATTTCTCATGTATAACGACTCATAAAACTTTGAAGAAATGCAATATGATAAAAAACAGCTCTACTAATGTTAGCCTTCCTGTGTTTAATCTGTTCTAATCCTGTCTGACCTAAACAGCTACCCAGCATGCATTGCACAGGGAGAAAAAAATGGAGACTTCCATAGGTGAAGAATATAACAAAGGATTTATGATTTTTGAAGATATTTTATGTATCACAAACAGCTAATTTTAAGTAAATAGGCCAACATGTTCAACTAGTCATGGATCCCTTTAAAAGATCTGTATAATATACAAAAATAAAAGTTCACTTTTGTATTGGCAAAAAAAAAAAAAAAAATACACAATTTTTTGTTTTGTTACTTCTGCAAATTAGAAAAAGCCCTTTAGATGTATTTAATGAAATGACAGACCTAGGATGGTTAGCTGCCTGCTAATTTATAAAATACTCTTATTGATCTTTTGTTTTCTTGTTCACCATGAGCAATAAGATCCTTTTAATTTAGAACACATGGCAAACTGATATAAAACGACAGCAAAACATATCTGATTAGGTTACACATTATTTAGATTTAAACAAAATGGATTAAGTATATTCATATCATGTATTTTTTACACTTAAAATGTTCCTTATATGGTTATATTAGCAGATTACAGCAGCGCTGGAAAATAAAGTTCTTCACTGTCACAGAAGATTGATTCCGATCTTCATTTAGATAAAAACCAATATTTCTTTATATTCATTAAGGTAGAGTTTAGGTATCAGTTCTCTGTCAAATGTATTATTATTATAGCACCAGTATTTAAAAAGACAAACACTCCCACACAACGTCAGCATTAAAATAAACCTAAAATCTACTAAGACAGTTTAAAAAGGTGGATCAAGTCTTCTTTTGTTGTTTTTGTTTATCTATAGAGAATGGAGTACCACCTCTACCATATTTAAAATTTAAAACAGAAATAAATAAATGCTCAATAAATAAATAAGCATAATTAATTGCCCCCAAAAATAAAATAAAAAAAATAAATGTAGGTAGAAATTAAATTATGAATTGAGACATAAATGTATATATCTCTTTTAATTAACTTCTTTATTTATTCACCTTTGTAATATAATCTTCAACCTTTTTTTTAATTACCTATGTTTTTAAGTATTCATTTATGTACATATTATAATAATTGTGTCTGTTTTATTCTTCCTTTGTATTTTTTTTACTCTAATTATTTCTTCAATGCTATTTATTTCTGCCTGTCGATTTGACTTTTCTGTTTTCATTTCTGCCTCATTATGCAGATGAGGAGGGGGAGTGTCTTAGAGGGTCACCTTCTGCCCATTTATTTATTGAGCATTTATTTATTTCTGTATTCATTTTTACATATGGTAGAACTGGTCCTCCATAACAGAGCAGTTTAAGTGGAAACTGAATCCATGGAACAGAAGAATCGCTTCAAATTCCAGATTTCTGATTAGTTTAACCATAGAAACGTTTTTCACATTGTGGTTTAATGCAGTGGTTCCCAAACTGTTCTTGATGCCCCCCCAATTAAAGAAGATTTTTGATAACCCCCCTTTGGACACCTGTCAACGTCAACTGCAGTAATATGTAGTAAAAGCCTTTTCTTCTTTTCTTTTCAAATTTATTTATATTTTATATCCTAATTTTTTTTTTTACTGATTTTTCTCAAATTTTGTATTTTCTGTTTTTTTATTATTTAAAGATTTAATATTTTAATTCTCTTTAAATTTCTTTTTTTCAGTTCAAGTTTCATGAATTCCTCATAAATGCATTTATCCAGATCTCGTTCTATTCACTTCTGGGGGCGGGCTTTCCCCTGGAGGAGCAAAGACGCATCTGGATTGGTCTGCTGATCATTAGTAACAGAATTTTTATTGGTCAAGAGGGAACAGTTTTGGGCTCTGTGATCTGAAAAACTCACTAGGAAAAACAGAAATTAAAATTAAAAAGAGAATCATTCTAATTAGAAAATCTTTTAACCCTTTATAAGGCAAGTTAGCATTTTTGATCTTTTGCCAACCTCTTACAAATGGAGTGCCCCCTCAGCAAGTTCTAGAAGCACTAGATCTATATCCAGCCATTCAGTAAAGAACCTACATGGCTGTACATCTTATTTTGGCATTTGACCAATTAAATGAGCCCTTGAACGATATATTACCTACTGTAAATTAAGTAAGAAAAAAAAAGTTAACAAGTCATGAAAAAAAGTTAAAAAGCTAATTGAAAAGTTCAAGACTTAATAAGCCTAGTTAACAATTATATTTAGGTTTAAAACTAAAAAATATAAGTGCCAGTATCAACATTAATGCCTCTAAGGTTATATTGCACCAAAACATTTTTTTTTTTTTTACTCAGAGTGTTTTTCATGAATTTCTGATAGATGCACTTTTGTTTTTTTTCTTAATATATTCAGGAAAGTTGGTGTTTTTTGTTATTACATTGACATAAATTTTTGCCATCCAAATATCCATATTTTTTAATGTTCCAAATGTAATAAGGTCTTGTCCTGGATTCCAATACTTTTGACTTGAAATTTAGATTTTCAAAGTATTTCACTGAGTGCTTTATAAAGGGTTAAACATAAAAAAATATAAAATCTGTAAAAAAAAAAATTTGAAGAATAAAATATAAAATATCAAGTTGAGATTGATATATTGATTTTCCTTTTTTCAAATTTCCATCCAGTTTAGGTCTACCTTGACCTCCCCAAACCCCTGTAATTACACTAAGCCCCCAATAGGAGGCGCCTCCTTTTTGGGAACCACTGCTTTAATGTTAAACACTTACTATAAGGAAACCAAAAATAAAAAGCTATGAAGTAAATAAAACAAATGATGTGCGGTTCATCCTGAGGGCCGCTGTCCTGTTACAGGGGGAGGGACTGGCCCCCTGTTGGTCCTTTTCACTCTCAAACAGAGAGAAGCTGACTCCATACAAGCAGCTACTGAGAAACGTTCTTCTCTCCTCCTCAATCAGCTGTGGGGCTGCAGAGCAAAACCAGCTTATCCAATCAGCTTTCCTTCAGGCATCTGTTGGTTTTAAATCAGAGACACCAAAATGAAAAGCAAAGCTAACTGAGCCACGGGAAGCTAACAAGCTCAGAAACATTCAAGCTACAGATCAGAGGAATCTGGATCACATCTATGGCGCCAGAATTCTGCCAAAAATCCACACCTCTAATAAATACTCTTGTACTCTTCTTCCTGTTAGCAAAGCAACTTCAGGCTAACTGCAAAGTCCTCATTAGATATAACATTGGCTGTTTCTCAATTCACAAGAACGTGAGTACGGACTCGTGTTCTCGCCCAGTATGTTCTTAAGAAGAACACAGGAGAGTGTGGACTCTGGGAGAACGGGAGCACACAGCATAAATCTGGGTCAATTGCCATATTGGGGCCCTGTGATTCTCTATTTGCGCATTTAAAACCTTAAACATGCGCATGAGCAGTTTATGGGCGACTGTATGAAGTAAAGCTGCTTGAAGTATTTAGTATTTATTGCATGTTTGGACTTTTGCCTGAATCCTGACGCCATACAAATCACCTTTATTGAAGCAGTATTCCCGGAAACAGGATCGGTAAATCGGCGGCCTCAACATTAACGGACAGCTGTCTCCATGACGACCGGTGTCCTTGTGCATACACTGCACCACTCGTGATTGCAGACCTTTTCCGCATGTAGATGAGCACTGAAATAACAGGAGAGAGTTATTCATTATGTCTGACATACGGCTATCTGTAGAAAAGCTGCAGGAAGGATAACTCCCTAAAGGTTGGTCAACAAACCAACCTGCAACAAACCACTGCACCACAGATGGAACAAATACTGAAAAACAGAGTTTCCCTCAGGTGACACATTTTATTTTGTATATTTGCTCTATTTTCATTTAATTGTTGTGAAGATGATAAACATACATTTAATGGAAAACACCTCAGAGACTAAACAAGGATTTAACATTGAATTAAAGGTAAGAAGTATTATCCTGGGAGACATGGAGACAAAGAACAAAAAAAGGTCAAGTATTGCTAATAAATAGCAGGATTAAATGTACATAGTCAATTTATACGACTATACAAAAAAGACCAAAAACCATTTGATTATGATAAAATAAGGTTATATACACTCAGCTGTCCTGATAGTGTTTAGCTACAATTCCAGCACCAGGTACAATGGGCAGACATAAACAGAAGTGGCGCCATCTGCTGGCACTAAAATATTAAAGCCCAACCGTGCAGCGATGCCTCATAAAGCTAATTGTGTTCAAACACCAACCAATATTAATTAAATAAATTGATCTACAGAAACTCAGAGCTCCAATAAAGAAAAACCTCTAAGATATTGAGTTACTACTATATAAATTTAAAAAAAAAATTTCCTCAATTAACCGATTCTTGGCAGACTAAAACGGGTTCCATCCTAAGCTCAGCTTTAACTGTACAGTAACCAAGGTGTTACATTGATTCATACCTTGGACCAGTCTCCAAATCTCCACTGGTAGCATCCAGACTCGTTCTCACAAGGCTCTTCCTGATTTGGCTCAGAGGAAGGATCACAGCCCCCTTCTGGGTTTTTGCACCGCACTGTCCTTCTGCGAACACCCTGACCGCACTCTGATGAACACTGGAAAATATGAGGGGAGTAATGTTCAGGAATGTAACATTACTGTTATGTAAAATAGATTTTGTTTACAAGAATGTATATTTACATGCCATATTTCTTTCTTGTGGTTAGTGTAGAAGAAAATCCAAATAATGTTAAAGTCGCAGGGAAGCAGCTGTTCCAACCGTTGCATTTCCTAATTCTCCCGAGTGGTGCACGACTTTACACGAGTGAATAAAGTGAATGTGATTGGTCATTTATCAAGGGGGTAATTGTGCCGGAAGGTTTACAAGCAAGTTTGGTTGAGGCCGGTTTGTCGGAAGCATCTTGCTAACCAGTTAGCAACTTAATTCAATTTCAATTCAATTTAGTTTATTTCTATAGCCACAATTCACAACACATGTCATCTCAAGGCACTTTACAGTTCACCAGATCATCCAGTTAAATTGATTCAAAGTTTTCTATCTAAGGAAAACCAGTTGATTGCATCGACTCATTGACTCAAAGGCAATCCCTCACACTATGCTTGTAGCGACAGTGGAGAGGAAAAACTCCCTTTCAACAGGAAGAAACCTCCAGTAGAACCAGGCTCAGTGTGAGCGGCCATCTGCTGAGGCTGACTGGGGTTTAAGGAGACAGAAGCAGAGAAACAAAAAGCAGCTGTAAAAGGCAGCACCATCCAGGAAACAAACAGCCAGGCAGACGAGCACCGAGTCGGCTCCCATGTCAGAGGATAAAGAGAGCACATCCACTTAGTCTCAGTCAGAGAAACAGGACTATACTGGAAAACAGGCCGATCTCCAACATCTATAAGCAAAGGTGTTGATGGCAGCAGCACAGCTGATATTTCTCTCCAGGATGGAGTCACAGCCAAACGGGAACAGATGAGGCAAAGCTACTATGAAAAAAAGCAGAAAGAGCAGAAGGTTAGAGATTGAACTAACAGATTCTGCAGAATAGGAGAACAGAGAGAGAATGAAGCAGAATGATGAAAAGGGGGTCCCTATGTCCTCCAGCAGTCTAAGCCTATAGCAGCATAACTATAGAGATAGCTCAGGATAACCTGAGCCACTCTAACTATAAGCTTTATCAAAAAGGAAAGTTTTAAGCCTAGCCTTAAAAGTAGACAGGGTGTCTGCCTCACGGACTAAAACTGGTAGTTGGTTCCACAGGAGAGGAGCCTGATAACTAAAGGATCTGCCTCCCATTCTATTTTTAGAAATTCTAGGAACCACTAGTAAACCTGCAGATTCAGAGTAAAGTGCTCTGTTAGGAACATAAGGAACAATCAGATCTCTGATATCAGATGGAGCTTGGCCATTAAAGGCTTCAATAAACTTAGTGCTAGTAGGTTCCCAATGGGAAATTCCATTGGGACCAAGTAGCACTAAATTGGTGACTTAGAAACGACACTGTCAAGGAACGCTATGGACAGAGGAGACATGCAAGAAGAGGAGAGTTTAGTGTCGGAGGTCGTGGATGAGTCTCCTCCATCATCCATTTTTCATTTAGATGAGGAAAGCGGGGACAAAGATGTTCTGGAGCTTGGTTTGGTGTAGAAGGCTTACAGACGTACATGTTTGAGCCCTTGCCTCGCAACGCTGCCAGTTCTGTTAGCTCTTTGCCTGCTGAAGACACAGACGTCCATCCCCGCGAACACTGGGACGGAACTCAATGGGAAAGGAAATTATTCTTATTTCAACCGTTGCGTATATTACCTGCTACGTATGAATCAAGATGCAACAACCAAAAACATTTGGTTGACAGATGACCGTTAATATATGATTGATAAAGATAAAGAGTACATTTGACTTTTAAATATGACTTCCCTACGACTTTAAGAAAATGGTTAAGCCTAACCTCTGACCACTCGGAAGCCTCCCACGTCGAGGGGCAGGGGTCGACCTCACAGCCCCGTTGGACCTTAGGTTTTCCTCCATTGCAGTACGAGTCCTTGGTGTGCATGAGTGAGCCATTTAGTGAGGGGTAAACACAAGACACCTCTCTCTGCTGCAGACCCCGACCACAGGACACAGAGCAGGGTCCCCACTCACCTGTCATCCACCTGTGGAAAATGTCAGGTCAAGCAGTTTTAGTGTGAAATAAAGTTCCTTTAATGGGGACAAAAACATTCAACATTGCCGCTAATAATCCAATGCAAGACCCGTCTGTCACCTATGCTCCTGGGTAAGCTTCCTCAATTAAAACACAAAATCATGGAGTTTTTCCAAGTAAAACTAATAAAATGGAACATGACAATTTAGAAATCAACACCAGAGAATAAAACATAAACGTTTACAAATGTTTATTTTACTCTGAAACTACAAAAGCAGATCTGTGTAATATATGATTTACTAACGCAACACAACCCTGTAAATGACCAGAGCTGTTTGCTGCACAGAGATTATGCAAACGAAAAGAGTTTAAAGGAAACTGGAGGAAATGTTAGTGCAGAAGGGGGAGCAGAAGCCAAAGACAGCAAAACCAATGAACACATAACTTTATAGAGAGCATGCGGATAAAGTTACATATTAGTATTGATGAAATGACATAAATATACCAATAACTGATATCCATTTATGCCAATAACCAATATTTACCAATGATTTATATTAGTAAAGCAGCAGCTTTGGTGCTGATCTGTCAATTTTTTTTAGATTAATCTATTAATAATTAGATAGCAAAAGACGCTTTAAATGAGATGTATGCAGAACTTAAACCATCTGAAGCTAAAACAATGCTACCTAATATTCACAAACCACATTATCTTTCTAGATTAAATAAAGCAGTTGTATATAACTTTATGGTTTAAGGAAAATTACTACTCATAATGGGTGTCTCGTTCAGCTAATTGCATGTCTGTCTACTCCACTTAACGATTAATCAATTACTGAATTAGGTGATGATTATGTCAATAACTAATTAATCAGATTAATTGTTTCAGCCCCATATATTAATTCTTCTCTATCTGGGCACCATAGAAAACCAAACCAGAGTCAATGGAAGTCAATAGACGGTCAATGGAAGTCCATGGGTAGACCTCAGTAGGTCTATGAAACAGAGGTCTGAATATGAACGTGTTTCTGAAAGTGGGCGTGTCTCTGGGAGGCTTACCTGTATTGGCAGGGCAGAGTGTTGCAGCGCTGCACCTTGGGCCGGGGCCGGGTCTCGGAGCGACAGTAGTCATTACTGACGACTTCCATGCTGCCATTGACTATCTGCATACAGGAAACCACTGTGCTCCTCTCACCTGTGCACACAAACACAAACATTTGAGGCTCCTTTCCTCCTAAAATCTAGAAAACATTCAGTGATTCTATCGACTCCATCTTAGCATTTAGGCTCATTCCTGCTCTTGTTTGTATCAATCAAAATTATCCATTAATTGACAGTAAAACCAGAGACATTAATATCAGAACAGACTAGAATACATTTAACCTTTATTGCTTTTATTGAGGAAATCTAGGGTGCCAGCAGCTAGGTGAAAAAATGGACTATATATTACCTAAACTACTTGCTAACTCAGGAGTCTTTAGGTCCAGGTCTTGAGGGCTGGTATCCTGGTCATTTGACTCAGATGCGTTAAAGCTGAGAAACATCTAAAAGGTGCAGGAGACTGGACCCTGAGATCTGGAGATAAGGACCCCTGCACTAGCTCATCAATACAGTTAAAATGGAGTTCAATCACTTCCAAGGCCACAGGTTTAAAAAAGTTAAATAAAATAAATACAATAAAATAAACCTCCTAAGAAAGGGTTAGAGTTGATTGTGTCCTGTGAATTGGTGCTTTATAAAGGGTTCAAGAATGGCCTGTTTTTCAATGTAGTCCTGTTTCTCTGACTGTGACTGGCTAGATGTGCTCTCTTCATCCTCTGACATGGGAGCTGGCTCGGAGCTTGCCTGCCTGGCTGTGTGTTTCCTGGACGGCAACGCCTTTTACAGCTGCTTTTTGTATCTCTGCTTCTGTCTCCTGGAACCCCAGTCGGCCTCAGCAGATGGCCGCTCACACTGAGCCTGGTTCTGCTGGAGGTTTGTTCCTGTTGAAAGGGAGTTTTTCCTCTCCACTGTCGCTACAAGCATGCCTAGTGTGAGGGATTGCCTTCCAGTCAGTGAGTCGATGCAATCAACTGGTTTTCCTTAGATAGAAAACTTTGAGTCAATCTGACTGGATGATCTGGTGAACTGTAAAGTTCCTTGAGATGACATGCGTTGTGAATTGGTGCTATAGAAATAAACTGAATTGAATTGACCTCCTCAGGAACTCAGTTAATGCTAGTAGGGAAGTGTGGGAGGATGTTACTTGTGAAACTTGTGGAAGTCGAGCCGTAAATGTTCCTCTCTCCTGACATCATCTGTTAATGGTGTTATAACAAACTGGAGGTTTTAGAAAACTGATGGATAGAAATGCACATTTTGAGCGCTTGCCAGCTTTCTGAAGGAACGATCGCTAACGGCCTGCAAACTTCATGTTTTTTCTGATTAGCTTGAAAGAGCTTTTTGGAATAACTTTCCATGGCAGACCTGTTGCATCCAACCCATACATCACCGAGGGTAATGCAGAGCATCGTATGCAGTGGTATAAAGTAGACCAGTCAATAATTGTCTAATTATGTTTTTGGCCCTTCATTTCCAACCAAAGGAGCCTGAATGCTTGAGCAGACCAATAGATGTTTATCACTCCAGGCTTCTGATGATCTCGGTTTGTTTTATGATCAAGTGGGAAATCATTTCACAGGATGTGGTTATTTTTACATGTCTGTGTTTAGCATGTGGATCTCTTACCTCCTCCACAATGGACAGTACAGTTCTGCCAGCTGCTGTGAGCCCAGATATAGAGGCTCTGTGGCTCCGTCTGTTTCTCATTGACCCGGTCCTGGCTTGTGTTCAGAGGTATGGTGTACTCATAGTGGATTCCATAGCTCTGGTCATGAAACAGCAGAACCTAAGGGGACAGCAAAGAGAACCACAGTGAGGTCAAAGCTTGTGGAGGCTTGATAAGGCGGATGATGTTCAGTTCAACCTCGAGAGACTCAGTCAGAACATTATTGAACTGAATGGAAATATTGTTCTGGAGCTCAGACCCCAGCAGAAGACCAAGAGCTCGATCTGCTTATTGTGGCAGATTTAATGAGTATTGAGAGGTCGCCCCCCTGTGGCTGGATGGAGTCATAGAAAGGATGGGCTCTAAAAAGGGCAAAGTGGAGTTACAGCTCGTCCTGAAGGAGGAGGGAACCACGGCGACTTAAAAATGATGCAGTGGAACCACGCAGAGCAGAAGAAAATTTACAGAGGTAGATCTAGGTAATGTGACAGCCGGGACATGCATGTAAGGATTGAAAGAGTTTTCAGGTTAAAAATGATGCCTTGGCTCCAGTAAGGCTGATTTATACTTCGAAATTAGGCTGCCTGTGTAGGTGTCACGATGAATGCAGAGATGTCCCCGCCCCTTTTGCAGACACTCTGCTGCACGTGCTTGTCCACAGTTAGCTATGTTTTTCTGTGCCTGCGCACTTTCAGGTGTATATCTATGGTGAGCTATGGTTTCAGGCAGTCATTGAAGCTTACCTTTCACACCACGGTTCTTTGAAAATGGCCGCGGGTCATGAGCTCTAACCAGTGGTGAGACCATTTCAGCGTTTCCCGAGTGATTCTGATTTCCTGATCCCGTTCCCTCTCACCCTAGCCTGGGTGCCATTCTGAACGTAGTCCCGCCCACAACGTTTGAGGTCGGGAAGTTCGGTCTGGCATTG